GCTATGACAATTGCTTTTATTAATCACAGCTGTCAGAATACGTTTAAAATAGTTTTGGGTAGTTAAGGTTTTCAAAATGGGTAGAGGAAAGGTTATTAGTGAGAAAATTTGGTTACTGATAATTAAATTTTTCAATTCTGGGAAATCAAACTCAGAAATTGCAACTTTGTTAGACTTATCGCGGTACAGTGTGAGAAATATTGTTAGAAGATATAACGGGTTCAGTTAATATTAAGCCACAATATGTGAAAAAAAGTAATATCACAAATGCCGACCGAAGAGCATTAAGAAGAATAATCGTGAAAAACAGGCATGCCAATTATTTACAATTAAGTGCTCTGTGGAGTGACGCTGTTGGAAGGAGAATTTGGAGGTCCACAACTGATAGAGAGGCCAACAAACTGGGATTTAGCACTTGCAAGTGAAGTAAAAACCCTAAAGTTGCACAACTTGTTTATAGGCCAAAGATAAGCCACTATTATCTCCACTGCAAAATAAAAATTGGCTTAGATGGGCTAAAGAACATAGACAATGGACACCTCAACAATGGTGTGCAATACAATGGAGTGATGAGGCCCGATTCGAAGTTTGTGTTGGTGACAGTCGCAGTAGAGTTATTCGCAAAAAAATGAAGCATTCCATGTTGACTGTCTGAAGAGAAAAGTGAAATTTCCAGCATCCATTATGGTCTGGGGTAGTATGTCATCAAAAGGAGTAGGAAGACTTCATTTTATTGATGGAAATGTGGATACAAACAAATATTTGGCAATTTTAGAAGAATCGCTTTTATCAGTGATGGAAGAATGTTTGACATCCGGCCAAGATTTTGTGTTTCAGCAAGATGGTGCAGCATGCCATACCTCAAAAAAGGCTTTAAAATAGATGGAAGAAAATAATGTACAACTTTTGAAATGGGTTTCTAGCAGTCCAGATCTGTCACCTATTGAAACTTTATGGCACGAGATGAAAAAGGTTCTACGACAACATCCTGCTCGTACAATCACTGAACTGAGACAAAAGCTTCAAAAAATATGGGATTGTTTTACACCAAATTTTTGCAAAAACAACACGATGCCCCAAAGAATTTTAGCCGTAATAAAAAATAAAGGTGATGTTACCCAATGGTAATCTTTCAATTGTTGCATTGTTAACTTCGCGCATTTATTCGTACATTGTTTATTTGTTCAGATGTTCTATTAGTTATAGGTCTAAGTGATTTCGAATATGTATTTTTTACGACTAGAGTGTATCTATAATGTTTTTGAGAAAATAGATTGTTTTAGAAGTAAATAGTTTCGTCATGTTTAGTTTATAAAGGCATATTTTGGTACAAATCTTGAAGTGGGACAACTGAAGTGGGAAGGGGCTCGTACATCTCAAGAACACTTATGGAGATTATTACAAGACGAATGGCGAAAGAAAAATGATTTGCGAGTTTACCCATCATTTGCCAGGCTGTAATTGAAAATAAAGGAAGACATATTGATGAGTCAAAAATATGATTATTTTGTTTATAAATAGTTGTATGTTGTTAAGAATTAAAAAAATAAATGTTTTACACAGATATTATGTTTTCTTTAATAACTTCCATCAGTTTCCTTGTCTTCTTCGAATACTTTTGAACGGTAGTGAACCTACTTCAAATAAATTAGCACGTTGTTCTATTCAACTGAGATTCCTCTGGTTCATATGCTTACGAATTAATCTAATATAAATGCTGCAGTGTATTTCACTACAGCATTGTTTTGTTTATGTCAGTGGGCCCAAGTACCGTTAGCTACGCTCATTTCGTGATCTGGTAACAATGGTAATTGGTCATTCACAAAATATTATTCTTTTTCAGGTGATTATGCGTCAACCGTTCACTAAAAAAATTAAATTGGATAGGCTTTGTAACGTGTTTTATATCTATTGTGTCGAAATTTTAAAATACTCTAACCATGAGCGCAGTAGAACAAAATTATTAAAGTAAGAAATACCCGTTTTTAGTAAGTGACATGCCTTTGTTCTAGTATTGTTCTTGATAGCTAAAACTAATCATCCAGAACAATATTCGGATCTCAGGCCAATTACCTTATTATGCTTTCTATCAAAAATACTCGAAAGAGTTGTCTACTCACAACTAGTGGAGTTTTTCGAACAAAATCACTTATTTCCTCTACATCAGTCAGGTTTCAGAGCTGGTTACAGCACTACTTCGTCTTTATTACATCTTACTGATTCCATCATTCACAATTTAGACAATCACATCAACACCGTCTTGGTACTGTTAGATTTCTCGAAAGCCTTTGATATGGTCAATCACCAGATACTACTGAGTAAGTTATCTCATTATGGAATGTCAGATATAGATCTAAGGTTCTTTGAGTCATACTTGCTAAATCGTCAACAAACAGTGAAAACTGATCAGGGAATTTCGTCCTCTGAGCCAGTTCCTTCAGGAGTTGCTCAGGGCTCAGTATTAGGTCCCTTACTATATCTGATTTATACGATCGATCTGCAAGACTGTTTAGTCCACTGTAGTATGCAAACTTATGCAGATGATACTCAGTTAGTGTTTGGTTTCGATCCATCAAAGGTTGATGAAGTTTCTTTTAAAGTTAATTTAGATTTGGCTAACATCGGTGATTACTGTAACAAACACTGCTTGAAGATCAATCTCAATGAAACTACTGCAATGTTGTACTGTTCGAAGAACTCCTACCGTGAAATGAAGCAGAGGATTTGTGTTTTTTGGATGAGACACTCATCCCTTTTGTGGATTACGCCAAGAATCTCGGTGTTACCCTTGATTTAAATATGAGATTCGATCGGCATGTCTCTTTCTTATCTAGAGTAACGTATTTGCGTTTGAAACTCCTCTATTCTAATCGATACATCTTGAATTTTAAAACCCGAAAAAAGCTCGCTGAAAGTATTGTGTTGTCTGTCATTTCTTACTCTCTTGTTCTGTATTACCCATGTTTAGACTACGTCCACAAAAGGAAACTCCAGAAAATTCAGAACAGCTGTTGTAGGTTTATTTTTGGATTGCGCAAGTTTAGTCGCGTCTCAGATAAAATCAAAGAACTCAACTGGTTGCGAATTGATAAGTTATTTTTATATCTTTTGACCGTCTTCACGCATAAGGTTCTACTATCTAACAGACCTGCTTACCTCGCTAGCAAATTAGTTCACCGAGGTAGTTTTGTTACCAGAGCTCTTAGATTTAATGCTAATTTTAACATGCCTCCTTACAATACCTCGGTCTTTGAAAGAAGTTACACCTAGAATGCTGTCAACAGTGGCTATCGATCCAAACAGGTTGTTTCTTTTAAGAAATTAATGAAAAGTCAGCTGCTGGAGTCCATCATTTAGTTCAGTTTTTCTTGTGTTCATGTGATTTTTTTTTATTTTTTTTTGTTTGACTATTTTCTACTATTTTTGTTTCAAATTTAAAACTCTCGCAATACTATCTGCATTTGTCTCTTGCAATCAATGTTGTCATTCTTATGAATTGTATATTTTTTTTTGGTGTGTTATTATTTTGCTTATGTGTTTAAGTATTATTTTTTCCTGTTGTGGGGTTGAGTGTAAGAGTAGCCGTCTGGCTAAACTTCGCCTCACTGCAGTTAATAAAGGCATTATTATTATTATTATTATTATTATTATTATTTCACTATGGCCTGCACCATATACACTAATGATATGATCCCGGTTTTTACGAAACATTCAGTATTCTATCTATAAAAATGATGGATGAGTGGGCTGTCGAAATCTACTGTTTTTACTTCATATGCCACTGGGCGTATTAATATTATACAGGTATTATGTTTCTTTGAATGTTACAGAAAACCATGTCACTCATTTCCGTTGGTATGTCTGTATGTCTGTCCGCTAATCAATGACCCCGCTATAATAACATGGGAAGTACCGGTTGGATTTTGATGGAATTTCACACAGGCTTACTTTTTGAAAATCGGTCCAGTGCCGGCGGAAAAAATGCCAAAAACAAAAAAAAAATTGCTCCGACTTCCTTTTTGGACGTTTCAGAGGATACTGTACATTTTTGAAAATTCCTTTAGGGGTAACATTTCTAGGGTGTATCGCAATTTTTTGATGTTAGTATATTAATACACTTCCAACCCCGGTAATTCTATGTACCTATTAGACATATTTCACGTATCATAGATTTCTCGCACATTTGCCCTTAAATTTTAGAAATGTGAAAGAAAATTGGTTGAATAAATAGATCGCATCTGAATGATTATGTGTATTGGTCAGCATGTGATAGTGATGTAAAGTTTCGTTACTTTTTAGGACTTGTAAGGACTCGTTACTTTCGAACTTTGGACTCGTTAGTTTAGTTACTATTTGGACATTTCGTTTAGAACCTACATTCTATATATTATATCAAATTACTACTTTGGGATTGATCCAATTATTATTTTTTGTCTAATGCCTTGCCTATTAATTTTTTTGATATTTGATACGTAGAAGGTACTTATATTTTAAACTCGTCGTTGTGTGACGTCTGGTTCGTTAGCTGTACGCTGTAAATAGTATTTAATATTGTCATTTTTATCCTTACCCCAACAAAAAAGGGGACAAACCGATATTAAAATGTCTATTTTTAATATTTACCGAATACCTAACAAGTAATTTAGAGCTGGTAGCGGTAAAAAAATATAAAAAATAAAACACTTAGTAGTATAAAAAAATAGATTTCTTATTTAAAACAAACTTGCACTTCCCAAAGACATATTATGTCAATAAAAAAACATAAAGAAATTTACTGGATACTATATATGTACATATAAAATATAAAATATTCTAAAACTACGTCAATAAATACGTATAAATATAATTAATAACCGATAAACTAAAATAAACTGTAAAACATTCTAATAAAGTATCGTAATAAAAATTTAACTTTAAACAGATTAAAGATTATTATAATGTAGAAACAAAATATGTTCTACATTTTTTGACTTTAGTCTGTTTCTGCGGTCCGTAATAACTTGTCCTGCCTTTGAGAAGACCCGTTCGCAGGGAACTGAAGTTTCTACTATGCTCAAATATTTTTTGGCTAATATGGAGAGCCAGGGGTAAATTTTTTGTCTTTCACTCCACCATAGAATCGGATTTTCTTTTCGATTTAAATTTGTTTCTTCTGAATACATGTTGATTTCGGCAATGGCTGTCGCAGTGGGACTGTTTTTAGTGATATTAGATGATTTTATTGTTATGTCGAAATCTTGCCATATTATATCTTGAGTATCATCAGTTTCCTTCAAAGGATTCTTCGTTTCACTTGTAATATTATCATTTTTAATTTCAGCACCCTCACTTTGCGCCTTCTTAATTAAATACACTATTTCGCTTTGGATTTTTTCCGTGACTTTCTTCAAATTATCCTCGCTGGAAAATCCCTTCGTTTTGAACCTAGGATCTAAAAAGGTTGCCTTTCCCATGATTAAGTTGTTTTCGGCGTTACCAAATCTGACCACAATAGAGCCTAAAAATGAATCTGCTAAGCGGATTCCCAACCTGCTTTTCCAGAGAAGATATTAGACCCTTCACAATTAAAATTTATTTTTGAGAGTGTCACGTCCTTTTTTGAACTAATATCAACCGTTATGGCTTCAAAAGGTTTCAGAATTTTGCGCAGTTCCCTTAAAATAGTCCATTCGTCTTCCGAAGGTAAAATTACTGGATTGTGTAGCACACCTATGGTTGCCGCCAGCGGCTCAGACAATACAACTATCCTCTCAATCATATAATAGGTGGAGTTCCACCTCGTTGGTACATCGTTTATTAATTTAAGAGGAGTTGAATTGGGATTCATTTGCGTTTGGGTCGCAAAAAATTTTGTGTTAGCAAAACAGCTTCTATGAAAATGTTCAACAATTTGTTTAATCCTTGTTCTTATGTCTTCTATTTCCTTTAATCCGTCCTTAACGATAAGATTAAGGGTATGGGTGAAACATGATATGTGCCCCCATCCAGTTGCCTTTACAGCTGCCACAATATTTGCTGCATTATCTGTCGTTACAGCATATATTTTTTCGGCTATATTCCAGTTATTAGAAACCCTTTTTAGTTCTTGGCATAGATTTTCTGCTGTATGTCTTGAATCATATTTAAAGCAAGATAACAGACAGCCATGTAACTGCCATTCTTTGATATAAAGTGAGCGGTTACCGCTATGTAACCCTCTGTATTTATAGAAGTCCAGCCATCTGTACTAAGTGTTACATATTCAGTACTTGCAATAAGAGCCTTTAATTTTTGGACTTGAATATCATACTTTGCCGGCATTAGTGACTTACTAAACGTTGTTCTGCAGGTTACAATATAATTTGGTATTAGTTCATTTAAAAGTTTCCTAAACCCCCTATCATTTACTATAGAAAATGGTTGCAAATAGGTTATAACCATATTCAAAATCCTTTAATGTTAGACTGAGATTTTTTTGTAAATGATGACCCCACGGAGCTCCATGAAGCTTTTGTGGCAGTATCTTCGTTCTTTTGGATGTCTGTCTCTGCTGTCGAGGTACTGGCAACTGGTTCTTCCATTTCTTCCAATACAGTGGATGGCCCTAAATACATACATCCGTCAAAAAAACAATCAGATTCGTTTTGAAAAATTTAAATAATGATTTCATGTTGTTCTGATATCGCGATTTTTCTTCTTTATGAATCATATCAACAAGTATTCTAATATTACGGAAATATAAAAAAATCAGATAAATATTTGTTTATACAGGGTTATCCAAATTAAGTGTCCACCATTAGTAACTTTGTTATTAGTGAAAATACAAAGTTGTTTGAATTAGCAAACTAGTAGCATTTTTAACGCTGGTAAAAATGAGAAATAAAAAAAAACAATTGAGAGTCGTTATTTTGATTTTTTTTCAGTAAAATAACATTTTTTTAAATGGAAACCCCTGTATATTATATTTTTTCTGTTAAAGCATCAAATTTTAAACAAAAAAGCTTACAATAACTTTTCTCCTAGGTTACAAATTGTTGAAGTTATGGCCTCCAATCTGAAACAATTAAATTGTATCGACAAACTTTATTTTCAACATCAACTTATAATCTTACAAAATACAATAACAATTTTTTTTAAAGAAGATGCTCGAAAACACCACCTTGTTCTTCAATACATTTTTGGGCACGTTTTTCAACTGCTCGAACTGTCTTAAGTATGGTCCTACCATCTATCTGGGTTATCTTTTCCCTAACTGCAGTCTTTAACGCGTCAAGGTTATCGTACCTTCGCTTGTAAATTTGGTTCTTTAAGTAACCCCACAAGAAGTAATCAAGTGGGTTTAGATCTGGTGATCTGGGAGGCCACTGTATTGGGCCATTTGTTCCTATCCACTGATCATTAAAAGTAGTACTTAGAAAATGATAAGTACCTCTGGAGTTGTGGGCAGGTGCGCCATCTTGCTGAAAATGCAGATGATGTCTACTTATAAGATCCAATTCGTCTAAGAAATTAGTCAGAATTTCTGACATAAATTCCACATATCTTTCACCAGTTAGGGTTCCCTCATAAAAGAACGGGCCAACAATTTTTGAACCAATTATACCGCACCAAACGTTGAAACTGAAACGGACTTGTGGGCCTCTTGGATGTACTAACAAAAGATTTTCTCTTGACCAATAATGGTGGTTTTTTCTATTAAACATTCCAGAATTTGAAAAATTTGATTCATCTGTCCATAAAAGGTAACGAAAGTTATTTACATTTTGGCGACAGAACCTAAGATACCAATGGCAAAAAACAAGTCTTCTCTCTGGATCCCCTGCCAAAAGCGTTTGAACTGGTCGGTACTTATACGGAATAAATTTGTATTTTTTTAAAATCCTTTGAACAGTACCATAACTGAAATTAGAGTCCTTGAGAATATCTGCTATTGAATTCTCACGATAAGCTTCAAAATATCCAATAACTGCAATTTCCGTGGCCTCGCTTATTATGAATTCTTTTTTTGCCCTTGTTTTAGCAAAAACATTTTCGTTGCCCCTAAATTTTCGATAAAGTCTCAGAAAATATCGTTCATACGGTTGAATGCGAGCGGGATATAATTCACTGTAGTATTTCTCTTGCTCTCAAGGAGGATTTTCTGCACACTAAATAGCATTCTAACATATCACACTTTTCTTCATGGGAGAACATTTTTCTTTAAATTAATGACACAATAAAGCTTATAAACAAGTATTTACACTAATGTTTGACATTATTTGATTTTATCTTTGTTTTCCAAAGCCTTCTAGTTGCGAGTATGTCCAGTTTAACAATTTGTCGCTTATCTTAATGCTGTCAAATCGCGAACGCCATGTTGTTTTCATAGCCGTCTTAATATTATAATACTGCAAATAATTAAAAATATTTATCGTTATTTTGACTTTATTTTTGACTTTAGCGGAAAAGTCATTATGAACTTTTTTGTTTAAAATTTGATGCTTTAACAGAAAAAAATATAATATACAGGGGTTTCCATTTAAAAAAATGTTATTTTACTGAAAAAAATCAAAATAACGACTCTCAATTGTTTTTTTTTTATTTCTCATTTTTACCAGCGTTAAAAATGCTACTAGTTTGCTAATTCAAACAACTTTGTATTTTCACTAATAACAAAGTTACTAATGGTGGACACTTAATTTGGATAACCCTGTATATTAAACGTAAAAGAAAAACGGCGTTTCAGATTTAAAACTATAAAGCTATTCAAGTATCAATTTCACATAGTCCACTACAGTAGCTTAAATAACAAGTGGCATAACCAGATGGGGACCGTGGAGGAACTCTCCTCACTCTTTCTTTAGTTGAGTAGCGTCCGCTTCCCTAACAGTCTGGTTACTTCCCTGCCCTACTTAACAGTCTGGTTACTCCACTGTAAATGGTGTTCAACAAAATACTTATAATAATAAAACATACCTGAAACGAAGTTCTTTTTGCACCTAGGCATATTTTCGTCTTCCACCCGCCGTTTTGCCCTTTCTCCTTCCAATGAAAGAGTCGGATGTTTAGTTTTCAAATGCTTCCTTAAATTGCTAATGTTTCCATTTTTATGCGAATAAATATTTTTACAAAGATTACACTTTGCATTAGCTTCCGATATATTGGCGAAATGCGTCCAAATAACACTTCTTTTTTGAGTTTGCGATTCTCCCGAACCGGACGCGGATGATTCCATATTTTTGTACAAATAATAATTACATTATTGCTCGAGCTTGTATGGCAACGTCCAAACCAGTAACAACCCGCCAACCGCTAGCTCTCAAAGTCAAATGAAAAGTGTACAGGTGTACACAAACATTGCCAACCTAAAGCTCCGCAGTCCGCAACTCGTTTGATAGAAGAGTATCTAAAGTTGCCTAAGCCTAACGATATTCGCATCATTTCATTTCCACCCAGTTTACATCCAAGAACCAAGTCACTTGCTGCTGGCGCTGGCAGTACTGGCTACATTAGATCACAGTAACGTTTGTATCTAAAGTAATGTATAGTGTAGTAACTAACAGTAATTAAAAAGTATACATAGAAAAAGACCGTATCGCATTCAAAGTAACGAATTCAAATAAAAAGTAACGAGTCTTTTCGAAAAGTAGGACTCTTTACATTTAGTTACTCATTTGTAACGATTATTTTGTAAGCGTTACTTAATTATTTTACATCACTAGCATGTGATATCAGTGATATTTGCTCTGTGAGAAAATTACTACTGAATATGCTGCCAATGAAGTATATCTATTAGCTGTGAACGACGGGTTATTTATATGTTGTCCTCTCTGAAGACAGGTTATGTTCAATGTTATAGATTTTTCACGTTTTTTTGTGTTTTCAAAAACTTTGAAGAGCACTACGGGAAATCGCCACTGCGCGCGCGTTGTGTGCAATTAAGCCACATCACAGAAAAATTAGGAATCACACATCACACATCAAACATTTTCGCGATGCCTCACATCTAGGCGCTGATTTGTATTTTCTATTGACATCGCAAAGTATATTTCTATTAAATTTAGATGACTGAAAATAAAAAATAATGTGATAACCTTTTCACTTTCATAAATATTGCTGTCTGTAGCATATTTTCTCACCTGTTCCCTCACCAACCAGGGATTTTCTTTTCTTATCCCTCAAATTCAGCAAATTTGCATATCTAATTCCCAGAATGAATAAATTTCTAGTTTTGAATGTCAAGTAAGTGTTTTTGAGACAAGAAACCAATGTTATTATCATCAACACATATTATTAGCACACAAACGCACTATGCACCTATGTACTCCCCTGTCCTTCCATCAAACTTACAGCTTAGATCTCCAATAGCCCAGATATGACTTGGTGAAGCATACTCAAGTCCCCTTGGTGGTCTTTTTGCAATAGATCCTACAGAAACTCTACCCACCTATTAGCCCTATTTCACACATCATAAGTTTCCCCGTGTATGTTTGACACTTAGAATGTTTTCGATACGCGTCTCCTTCAGCTATCTGGGCTCAGCGCCCGACGTAACTGTCTGATTGATTGTTCTGCCCGTACTTCGGTGGTGCTTCGGTAGGAGCTGCTGCGTCTAACGATATGGGAAAGGGCAACGTTGCCAGATGTATGATAACTATCTATTGGACAGGACAAGAATATATATGGACCTGTCAAACTGATTAGATTCGTTTAATTTTTCTAGCCTAGATGTTCGGAACTAATTTTGTTCTAAGAGGAGGTAAGACTACACGTTAGCGCATAAAGACGGAAATTCACGTTTTTTTTTTAACAAATTGAAGAAATCAGTAGAAATAATCATTTTTTAAGGAAAATAGATGTGAAACTATAAAATATCGTTGTTTTTGCAAAAACGGTTCAAAGCATTAGCAGTGCTACACCCATAAAAAATAACTTCTTTAACTTGTTTTTTAGCAACATAATGACTATACGAGGTTTGTTCAAAAAGTATCGCGAATTTCATGTTTTTTCAATAATTATTTATTTATTCATGAATATCTATTTTGTCCTCTTCAAAGTAATCCCCATCTGACATTATACACTTGTGATAACGTTTTTTCCTATCCTTGAAGCATTTTGAAAATCATTTTTTGTGATCTTGTTCAGCTCCTTCTTCGATGCCGTCTTTATCTCCTTAATCGTGGCGTGACGTCATCCTTTCATGGGCCTCTTCAGTTTCGGGAACAACAAAAAGTCACAGGAGGGCAGATATGGGGAATACGGTGGGTGAGGCATTATTGGAGTGTTATTTTTGGCAAAAAATTAGCGCACAAGTGAAGATGCATGAGCAGGGGCGTTATCATGGTGCAAAAGCCAATTTTTGTTTTTCTACAACTCCGCACGTGTATCACGTATCTTGAAAAGTGACATTATGCCGATTTTTTTTTGACATTATGCAGGTTATTCTACAAGACGTTAACTTAGCACTCAGTTGTACGTGTTGCCGAAACGTCATGTGGCTTGTTATCAATCTTTGGCTCTGATGTGATGTAAAATCTGCTTCTGAGATGGCATTACTGGAGGTCTAAGCTGTAATTTGTAGGTGTTGATGATAATTACATTGGGTTCTTGTCTCAAATACACTTAATTGAGATTCAAAGCTAGAAATTAGTTGCGCATCCACTTTTTCATTCTGGAAATTACATATACAAATTTGCTGAATTTCAAAAATGAGAGAGATAAGAAATAATTATATTCACTATACACTGTCGAATTACAAGCCATATACGAGCTCCTTCCCACTTCAGTTGGCCCACTTCAAGATTTGTACCAAGATATGCCTTTATAAACTAAACATGATGAAACTATTTACTTCTAAAACAATTAATTTTCTCAAAAACATTTTAGATACACTCAATTATTATATATATACTAAGTGACATATAAATCCGAACACCCAGTTTAAATGGTTTTATTTTAATAATAGTTGGTGAATGTATTTATCTTACTGTAAATAACAAGTGAAAAAATTTTCAGCCTTATCAGTTGGACATTCCGGTTTTTATACTGCTTTTTTTTAATTCACTAACGCTCTAAAAATGAGTATTTCAGCCGCAGTAAAGAATCAACGTTGGCGGATTTTGGTTCTTGACATCCTTTACGATCGGTTACGATGCCTACAGTACGGAGACCTGTACGATTTCGTCAACTTAGTGAGTTTGATAGGGGCCGTATAGTGGGACTTCGGGAAGCTGGACTTTCTTTTCGGGCAATTGCAGTTAGAGTGCAAAGAAGTGTAGACACTGTGGTTAGGTATTGTCAGGCATGGCTTCGAGAAGGCCGTACGCAAAGAGCAAGGGGCACTGGACGCCGCCGTAGAACAACAGACCGTGAAGATCGCCGCCTAAGATTATTGGCCTTAAGGGACCGTTTCTCCACTACCAGGTCCATTGCAAATGAATGGTTTGCAGAACACGGAAGACCTATTGGCATGCGAAGTGTTTACCGACGAATGAGAAGTTTTGGCTTGTTTTCATACCGGCCACACTGGGTCCTCCCTTTAACTCGAGAACACCGACGTAATCGCCTTGAGTGGTGCAGACAACGGTCACTCTGGGATCAGGAATGGAACAGTATTGTCTTTAGTGACGAGTCTCGATTTTGTTTAGGCATGAACGATGGTCGTGCCAGGGTTAGAAGGCGACGTGGTGAAAGGAGGAATCCACAGTTTTTTGTTGAAAGACATGTTCGTCACACTGTTGGAGTTATGGTTTGGGGTGCTATAGCTTATGGTTCCAGGTCACCTTTAATCTTCATCAGAGGAAACATGAACGCGCAGCGTTATATCCACGAAGTTCTAGAACCCCATCTTTTACCCTATCTTGACACCCTGGCAGATCCAACTTTCCAACAAGATAATGCCCGACCACATGTTGCAAGAGTCACAATAGACTTCTTTCAACATAATGATGTCATATTGTTACCATGGCCACCAAGATCTCCCGACTTATCCCCAATTGAGCACGTGTGGGATATGATGGGTAGGAGATTGCTCAATTTGCAACGTCCTCCTCAGACTCTAGAAGCACTTCGAGAGGAGTTGGTGGTTGCCTGGAATGAGATACCACAGGAGGACATTGACCACCTGATCAGAAGCATGCCTAGGCGCGTTGGAGAATGCGTAGCACATCAGGGTGCATCCACACATTATTAAAGGTCAAAGGGCTTTAAAGCAGTGCAATCATTTTGAAATTTTTATCATTTACTTATTATGCTTCATTAAGTACTTATACAAAATTTTATTAAAATAAAACCATTTAAACTGGGTGTTCGGATTTATATGTCACTTAGTATATACAGGGTGACTTTGAAGTTGAGCCATTAATTTTCAGATAATGATTGTAGAAGGAAGATAAACCAAAATATGTGTGTAAAAATAAAAAAAAAATAAAAAAAAAATGTTACCTTGTTTTATAAAGTATCCTCCCGACAAGTATTTCAGTGCGGACCTGTATTTGATCGTGAGGTGCCCTGTGAGGTCTTAAGTCACCTGATTCACGAGCCCGTTGTACTACATTAACAAAGGCACGAGGGGTTGGTTGCACTCGATTGGGAAACCGATCCGCATAAACATGTGCAATTTTTTATTTCGTTTGAGCCACGCAACAGACACTATTCACACGCGACTGACACTGACTGTATGTATAACTGAACTGAATGAAATAAAAACATCGTTCCAAATTCTTTCGCTTTTTTGTTTCCGATGCGATGAACCGATAAGGTGGATTATATCCGTTGTTGCCAAACACGAGTACATGATATTATTATTGAGACAGGGCGGTACTCAAACTTCCAAAGGGCTATAACTTTGTTACTTTAATTTTACCAGAAAAATGGTAAAGGAAAAAACATTTCTTTTGATCAGATCTACTCACTGTTAAAATAAATGACTCAACTTCGAAGTCACCCTGTATATATTCAATAAGACACATTTTTTGACTGCAATTTGTTATGTTTTCATTATTTAGTAACTGGCAACAGCTACCTTTTCAGTAAATTATATATTCCATTTAATGAGGTATATTTTGTGGCATCAGCTTTTCAC